TCAATGACAGGAACAATTGGGAGAACATCCATAGGATTATGATGAGAAATAGTGTCTAAGAAAGCTAGTTTCCGCTCAGTTGAGGTCGAGTTATGAAAATAGGAAACACTTTCAAAAAATGAAGCATCAACACTCACATAAATTTTGTTTGTGATATGGTTAAGGCACCGATAACCTTTTTGAGAGGCGGAGTACCCTAGGATCCGGATCAAGTTTAGTCCAAGTGGGGTCAGTGTTCCAAAAAAAAGGTTGTGCGCCAAAATATTTTGGGATCTAAAGTGGAGAAAACCCGATTGGCACGAAAGCATGGCATGAAGTAGGCTAAGGGGGTTCGAAAGTTGTGAAATTTAGAGGGGACCCTTTTTAAGAGATAGGTGGCAGTCAGTATGACGTCATTCCAAAAAATATTTTGGGACATTAGACTGAACATAATAGAGAGAGCAACGTCGAGGAGATGTTGATTTTTTCTCTCGGCTGCCCCATTTTGTTGAGGAGTGTTTGTACACAAGTTATGGTGGAGGATGTCCTTACTTACCAAGAATTTATCTAAAACAAAATTAAAAAAACTCACGACCATTGTTGGTCTGAAAAACCTGAATTGGAGTTTTGAATTAGGTTAAAATGAAAGTGTAGATGTTTTGTAAAGTGGTAGCAAATTCTAATTTGTCTTTTAAAATATAAAACAACATCATTCGAGTGTGGTTATCAATCAAAATAAGAAACTACCATTTATTGGTATAGCTGACAGTGTGAAAGAGTCCCCGTACGTCACTGTAAATGAGTGAAAAAAGAGCAGAAGGTGTGTAAGTGTGGGGTAGGCAATGAACCTGATGATGTTTGGCTAACTGACATGTCTCATACTCGAAACTAGAAAGACTGATTAGAAAACATCAATAGACATAAATATTTTAAATATTGGAAACTAGAATAACACAAACGATAATGCAACAGCATAATGGGACATTCAGTGATTCGAGATAGGCTACAACTACTGAGTGGCATGTTCTCGTTCTTCGTATTTTCCTCTTGAAAGTAAAAGAGTCCAGCTACCCGTTTAGTAGTTTCAATCATCCTCTCTGAACGACTATCCTGAAAGACACAAACATCAAGAGAGAAATGAGAAATGCAATCAATATCATCTAACACAGATTCTAAAGTGAGATCAGTAGTTAGAATAACCAACTTTTTACCAATGATGGAATAATAGGAGTCATCCGCAATTTTGATCGTATCTTTTGCAGAACATGGATAGTATATCAAGAAAGCTTACAAGCATCTAGTCATATGGTTCGTGGCACCTAAATCAATGATCCACGGACTAAAGGAGGAAAAAAGATGTGTCATAGGGATCATACATCGATGGACATGTGAGGTTGATAGGCTAGCAGAGAACTGTTTAGATCCAAATATCTTGATTAAGTGCTCCATTTGACTTTTTCAAAGAGTCAAAAGATTCCAGAATGTTTTGGGTAGAAGCGGTTGAACTGTGATAACCTCTGATGTTGTAGTAAGACCCTTGGCAGCAGAGGATTTGGCCGAGGAATGGTATGTTGGTTTTTCGTGAAGCTTCCAATACTTGTCACGAGTATGGTTGAGTTGGTGACAGTAATCACAAGTGGGGTGACTTGCCCGAGAGGGTTGAGCACTATTAGAGACAATGGCAAACAGTTCGGTTGAAGGGGTGAAAGTGTCGAGTATAACAAGTCTCCAGCTCTCTTCGCGGCGGATCTCGATGAAAGCGGCACGAGCAGAAGGAAGACAAACCTGGGTAAGAATACGGCCCCAGACTTCGTCAAGATCATTTTTTAGACCTGTCAGGAATTGGAACAAGCGATCCTTTTCTAATATTTTGTGGACGAGAGAAAGGTGGGGTCGAAGAGTCCCAAAGGTAATCATAGTACAGATCGCATTTCATCTATAGTGTCACAAGGTCATTGTGGTACTGGATCACGGACCTTAATCCCTATTTTGCATCTCTGGTTTTTTTAAGACACCTCATAGAGTTCGCCGGAATTTCCTATCTGAGTAGATATCAAGGATTGTCGTCCAGAGTGCATTAGCGAAAGGAAGGAACATATATGAACAGGCAATCGATGGTTTCATGGAGTTGATCAGCCACGACAAGACTATGGAGTTCTCTATTTCCCAAGCTTCATATGTTGGGTCAATCTTTGAAGGTTTACGGATCATGCCTATGAGGTTACCGAATTTCTTGCAACCTTTGATGGATAAGAACACCACTTAAGACCATTTGAGAAAGTTAATGTCGTTCAGTTTGTGAGTCGTGATCAAGAAATTCATGTTGGTTTCTGGTCCTCTGGTATGCACAGGAACGAAGGTTGGATTCGAACCTTCAATGAAATGAAGAACACTGCCTAAGGATGGCTCAGTGTTGGAGGAGTATCATGATTCCGATTGAGCCAAAAAAATTTTGGTTGTGATTCTGAGACATCGCCGGATATCAGCTTGTAGGTCACCGAGTGTCGGAAAAATTAGGTAATCCGAACAACTAGAGAAGAGAGCAGCTGCCAGAGAAAAAATACAGGTAGGACCTGCAGGGACGGCTGACGAAAGAATTTACCCCTGCAGGGAGGAGGCCGGTGGCTGCAGAATTCAGCTAGAAGAGCCGGCGACAAGAAGTTCCTGCGAGAGACCTTGCAGGGAAGGTCGGCGGTAGCTAGGATTTAGGGTTAGATCCCGACTCTGATATCATGTTGAAATATTGGAGTAGAGGAGCATATCTTATTGATAGAAATAGGAGTAATAAACCCAATTACAAGTGGCACCCATTGTTGACCTCATTTTTTCGTGAGGTCTAGTATTCCTCGTAGGAGTTAGGATCTAGCCTTAGGGGTCTTCCTGCGACTATCTTAGAACCTTAGAAATGAGACCCGCCTCGTTCTAGTTCGACCCGCTTCAGTACTCTTTTGTGGTTTCGCGTGTGTGGTATCGACTTCTAACACTTGGAAGGATAAAACCAACATGAGGAACCCAAAAGGGATCCCTATAGGACCTTTTGAGTCTTAGGGTGGCCTTTTGCACAATTCGCACTCCAGCGCACAAGCTTCGCAATTCGGAGAGTCTACGCGTTTGATCGCCACGATTCGCATCGCTTGCACTGTTATTCGTCGAGGGCTCGTGTAAATCTTTTG